AGGGAGTTCCAGGATTTTTACCCAGCAATACTGAAGGAATGGGGTGATATATTTTCATGTCTGGGTGGTGAGTGGCTTGGAGAGAAACTTGCAGGTGGTGTTGTTCCTATGTGCGTACTACCCTTGTGTCCTAGATGGTGGATTTGGAGTGTGCTGTGTATGGAGCTTTGCTGAATGTATTAAGTGACATTCCAGTTGCTTGCGATCAGGAAGCATAATACTCCTTCAACCTGCTGTTGCCTAAATTTGCTACTTTCATTCCAGCATGAGGAAGCTAAAATTTTACCTCCCACATAGCTCCCACTTCCAGCGCATAAAATCCCCCCCAAAGAGATTGCAGTGGGATATAAATGTGTAAAGTGAATGGCGAAAATGTGGTAGATGGAGTAAAATGTTCAAAAATAAGAGGCTGTCCCAGGACGAATAGAAAAGCAGACTATTATTTACGTAGACAGAGAGACTACAGAATGCTGTGGTACAGAGGAATTGAAATGTGCTTGTACATGATTCACAAAAGCATAGCGTGCAAGTACTTCAAGCAGATAGCAAATAGAATATTGATAATTATTGCAGAGAAAATGCTGTATAAAAAGTAAAGAAGTCTTGCCATTTGTGGATGTGTTGTATTTGGATTTTCAGAAGAATCTTGATCATCTTTAATGCTTTTGCTGAGCAGTGTTGCAAGTTTCTTGCTAGGTAGTGGCGAGTTGCCAGTGAAGAGGGAATTAGAGTTTGCTAAATACCTTATTAGATTTTGCTAAATACCTTATTAAAGCTGCAACTCCTCTCATTGGTATTCAGCAGGTGGCAGATGCAGTATATGTGGATAAGTGTGAAGCTGTCAACTTTTGTAGGAGAAACAGAATGACAGTATTATTCAAATGATGATAGCTTGGAAAATGTTGATGTATAAAAGGGATCTGAGTGTCCATCTAGAGTTGTTGAAAGCCAGCAAACAGATGCAGGAAGCAATTAGGAAGCAATTAGTTTGCTGGCCTTCATTGCAAGAGGGTCTGAGTATAGAAGATTTTGTCCATTGGGCCTGGATTCACTGAAGTTTTGAAAAATGGAAAGGATCTCAATAAAACAGAAAATTCTGACATGCGTGGACAAATTGCATGCAGGGATGATGCTTCACCTGCCCAGGGTGTCCAGAATAAGAGGTCATGGTCACAGGATATGTAGTTCATAAGAACATAAGAAATAGGAGCAGGACTAGGCGATTAAACCTCTCTTGCCTGACCTGTCATTCTATAAGATCAGGGCAGATGTGCACCCGGCCGTCACTTCTCTTTCATGCTTTTCAATCATAGCCCTCAAATCCTCAATACTTCAGAAAACTCAACCTCCTCTTTAAATAGTCTCAGTAATCTAGCCTCCACAACTCTCTGGAGTGTAGAGAATTTGAGACGTTCATTACCTTCTGAAATAAGAAATTCCTTCACATCTCACATAAGAGTATTCCCTTATTCTAAAATTATATTCTCTAGTTCAAAATATCCCAGCTAGTGGAAAAATCTTCTCACCATCTACCATGAAAAGCCCACTCAGAAATGTTTCAGTAAGACCGCTCTTCATTTTCCCAAACTCTACTGAGTAAAGGCCTAGTCTCATTTAATCAACTCTTCATCCCAGGAATCAGCTTCATGAATGTTTTTTGAACTGCCTCCAATGCCAGTATATCTTTTCTTAAGCTCAGGGACCAAAACTGTACACAATACTCCAGATGCTACCTCACCTACACCCTGAAAAGTTGTATTAATCTTAACTATGTCCCCTTATAAATGCCTTATGATCTCATCACAGAATGTCCTCTCACCTATTTTGGTATCACTGGTAAATTTGGATACATTACACTCTGTCCCCTCCTCCAAGTCATTAATATAGGTAGTAATAATTAGGCATTTTTGTCTTCACTCAGAAGTTGGTGAACTTGTGCAATTTTCTACCAAAGAATACTGTATAGGCCAAGTCACTGAATATATTTAATAAAGAAATAGATTTCTAGAGGCTAAAGCTGTCAAGGGATATGGGAGAAAGTGGGATATGATGTTGAGACAGACGATCAGCCAAGATCATGTTGCTTGTCTGAGTGGGCTCAATGGGCTCAATGGTCAACTCCTGTTTTTATTTTCTGTGTTACAAACAATCAGGGCACTGGGAGAGAATACTGAAAGGACTGTACAATTTTGGTCTCCTTATCTAAGGAAGGATACCCTTGCATTGGACACAATTCAGGTAAACTTTACTGGATTGATTCCTGGGCCAAATGTGTTGCCTGAAGAAGAAAGATTGAAAAGATCGGGCCCATACTCACTGTGATTTAGAAGAAAGTGAGATGATCCTTTTGTAACATTCTAAGGGAACTTGACAGGGTAGATGCTGAAAGGATTGCTTCTCCTCATGGGGCGTTCAGAACAAAAGTCACAGCTTCAAAATAGATATTAAATCTTCCATTTAAGACAACGATTAGAAGCGTTTCTTCCGTTACAGAGCTACGAATCTTTAGCATTCTATACCCTAGAGAATAATGGGATTGAATATATTCGAAACTGAGTTTTTCACTGACAAGCGGGTCAAGTGTTACGTGAGGCAGGCAGTAAGCTAGATTTGAGGCCATGGTCAGAACAGCCATTAAATGCTGGAGCAAGCTCAGCTGGCTGAATGGCTTAATCCTGCTTCTAGTTCCCATTTTCTTGTTCTAATATATCTGCTCATGCTTACACATTACTCCAGTCCTTCCTGGCCTTTAGCTGTCTGGAATTTTATTTCAATTTCTCTGCCTTCTTGCCTTTAGTCAAAAGCCCACTTACAAACTCATTGGTCTGACCATTTTGATCATTCCTCCGAATACTGCATTTCTGATCAAAACCTATATTTGTCAAGTTACAGACACCAAATAAGCATAAGACGATGTTCTTCATCCACAAAAGAATCCAGGTGCAGTTTAACTTTGTGGCTCATTGGATGTGTTTAAAGTATTCCTTTTCACAACTCACGTCTTTCTGGAATACAGCAGAAGGGTTTCTCTTGGCTTGAGCTTAAGATCTAGGATGAGACAAAGCTGGATCTTTGGAACCAGTAGTATTGATTGCAGATAGGGAGGAATTCAATTTATTCTAATCTGCCATTGCATAAACTCGTAGGTAAATTAGCCTCACAATAAGAACAATTGGTTAGTGAAGCACGTTGTCTGATCCAGATTCTAATGCAGTCAGTGATGAATAAGTGAGAAAGCAATAAGTTTGGAAATCTGGAAGGTGGCTAGTATATTAGTCACAAGCCCTTCCCCAATGCTGAAGCATCTGCTTTATCAATGAGATGTAGTTGCATAATTCAACTTGAACATTTTGTCAACTGTTGTGCTATCTAGAATCTAGATATGAGAGCAGACTTTCATATATCCAATGTTTGGTACCTACCATAATTGGGTTGCCTGGTGGCAAAAATATGCTGATGGATCTACCATTTATTGGAATATAGTATGTATGAAGAAAATGACTGAGCAAAGTAGTATTTGAGGACCAGGATCTCAAACCCAAGACTAAGACCATGGTGCACCAAGGCAGGACTGATCCCCACATTCTGACATGTTTCAGAGATTTGAACAACAGCAAGTGCCTCAAAACACTGGAGAAGTACTTGCTCTCTTTTAGGATGGTCTCTGTGTGGGGAGGCAGTGAAGTGGTGCCTTCAAACCAGTTAGCAAGAAAGGTAGACTATCTCCCAAAACAAGCCCAATTTTGACACATCAAGATTATCAACACCACCTCTGCTGGGTGGGATCTGTTATTCAACTGCCTGATTCCATACTCCCAAAGTAACTGATTTACTCGAAATTCAGTCATGGCAGGAGAATCCTACATCTCCAGAAACATTTTAGGAATGTCCTCAAGGCATCCCTGAAGAGATTAGACACCCCCAACTACTCTTGGGAGTTCCTGATTTGTGACTGAACAAAATGGAAATGGTCTATTCAAGAAAGCACCAAATACATTGACAGAATTCATCAGGAATATACAAAGATAAGACAAAACATCAGAAGCATGCACAAAGTCTCCAAACAACTCATCTCCCATTCCTTTAAACACTTTCTGCCCTGCATGTGGCAGAGTCCACAAATTACAGATTGGATCTATCAGCCATCTCAAAATCCATGCAATTGGAGTGGAAGTAAGTCATTCTAAGGGATTGACTGTGTAGGAAAAGAAGGTTTAGATGATAATACATTCTTACATTTTATCATGGATCGTGCTACTAATGATGAATTCCTGGTACGTGCAGTTTATTAGAAGTTATACTTGTTCTTTTTTAGTTGTCCCACTTGTGACCACCATTAAGAAAAGGAAGAGGTAAGTGGAGTCTATTGTAGCCAAATTGGCTCCAAGATAGTAGTATAAAATCGAAACTTGATCAAAGATTAGCGGCAGGTTCACTAACTAAAGTACATCAGATTCTTGCATATGGTTGATCGACCAATCAAAACCTAAAATTATGATCTACGTTGAGGCACATGATACCTCAAACCTTATGAAACTGAATCTGTGATCTGGCACTCCCAGTAATGGTGACAACAGGTATATCTTGGGAAATAAAGAAATTACCTTGTTTGCCTCTGAACTACTATGTATATACATACCTCTAATTGTTTTCCATGTTAATAGTGAAAATTAGCCACCATGTGTATTATTGGTTAACAAGTGTATTCCATTTGATATTATGGAAACTGGATCCATAAATGTAATCAATAGGGATTGAGCTTAACTGTTAGTGTCAATTTCCCAAACAAAACTAGCAAATTGCTTACCATTGACTTAGTTTCTCTCTTTTTAACCATTACATGCAGCGGTCTAATAGGACAAATATGGCTTGACTGTGCTGTTGCATAAAGCTTTAACCTCAGCATTAACTCGTGATATAGAATATTAGAATTAGCGTGAGGTAAAGCATTCCAGCTATGTCAGTGATCAATGTTGATAAATCTGTACTGTTCATCTTCATCAGGTATGACATCAAGGCTCTTATTGGGCGAGGAAGCTTCAGCAGAGTGGTGAGAGTTGAACACAGAGCCACCAAACAGCCTTTTGCCATCAAAATGATTGAAACAAAAGCTAAAGAAGGAAAGGAGGTGTGCGAGTCTGAGCTGAATGTGCTTAGGAGAGTGAGCCATCGGAACATCATTCAGCTGATCGAGGTTTTTGAGACCCAGGATCGTATCTACATGGTGATGGAACTGGCTACTGGTGGAGAACTTTTTGACCGCGTCATTGCCAAAGGATCATTTACAGAGAGAGACGCAACAAGGGTATTGCAGATGGTTTTAGATGGAGTGAGATACTTACATACCTTGGGAATTACACACAGAGATTTGAAACCAGAAAATCTTCTGTATTATCACCCAGGTTCAGACTCCAAGATCCTTGTCACTGACTTTGGACTAGCCAATTCCGGGAATAAAGGTGGAGATTGGTCCATGAGGACCACTTGTGGGACACCAGAGTACATTGCACCTGAAATTCTGTTGAGAAAACCTTACACCAATGCAGTAGATATGTGGGCTTTAGGTGTAATCTCCTATATTTTGCTGAGTGGAACTATGCCATTTGAAGATGAAAACCGGACGAGGCTTTACAGAATGATTCTGAAATGCAAATACAGTTATGTAGGTGAGGTATGTGAAACTTCTCGAATTATTAGTTTAAAGCTGTAACTTTTACTTTTCGAGTTCTTAAAAGCTTAAGGTAAAACTTCTTATTTATCTTTATTTGCAATTCACTTTTCAACTCCTTACATAGACTGTTCTTGTGACATTTTAGTAGATACAATTTTTCATCAGTTGGAGTCTTGTCAGTAGATATTGTTCATTTCACACCATCACCAAAGTCAAAATTATTTTAAAAGCATTTTTAACAAAACTGGGATACTAGTAGATTTCTTAATTTTTCTTGTAAAGTTTTCATTAAAGGATTAAGTAAAGAGAAACTCGTCCAGTCATTATTTGGTAAATTGGCCATATCAATTCTAGAGAAGGTCAAGTTAACAAAAAAAAATTGGAAAGAAGAGCTTAGTTGATATATAAAACAAATTGAATTGATACAAAATTCTCCTAAAATGTTGAGTCTTCTTGCTCTTTAAAAAAGGCCATATGGGTATATATTTTGTGCACTTTGGTATTCAGTGGGAGAAAATTTAAAACAAATTGCCACTTATTCTCACAAGCTAACTATCTAGGATGTTTAGAGGCTATACTGATAAATGAAGTGATAACAGTGTGTTTGTTAATGGGAGTAGAAAAATCGATCTGCATTAGAAGCTAGTGATCCTTATTTGTAAGGAAAGTGCAGGCTACTATAGAACTTGACAATGTGTTAGTAATTATACTGCATTTACAGACTTCAGAACCATTGCATCTCATCTCCTGAATCAGCTATTGCCAGAAATAATACTTCTTCAATTATCACAGACTTAAGACTTAAGTAGACTTTAAATGGGGAAAAAAAATGCAGTGCTGACTTCAATCTGTTACCAACAGCACATTCTGTCAATATATTTAAAACAAACTAAGTTCTTCACAACATGGTACTGTATGATAATTTTAGCAAAAATGTAAACATGAGGTAAAAAGACTGTAGATTCCATAGATTGGCCGATACTTATTCATACATGGTTATTCAAATAAGATTACCTGTATGCTGTCAATTCAAAAGGACAATCTTCATGCCACACAATTGAACACAATGTGTGTGAGTTACAGTGCTAGGTACATAGGCTATACACCCCAATGATAAACTGATAAGGCAAGTAGCATGTTCCTTTGATTGTTTGTAAGAGATTCAACCAGTCAGTGCTTGCAAAACCCAAATTAAAACATCCGTTGTTAGATGTAATTTTGAAATTGGGCAGCATTTTCTGAACAATTCTGAGTCTGCTAGTAGCTGCATGAATTTAGTAATAATCAGTCAAGCTCATATCTTGGCTCATTTACTCTTGCAAGAAGAGACACATATTCATATACAGGATATGTTCTCTATAAACAGAAGAAACATATCAAAGCCTCACGGCAGGAGCTTGGCAAGCCTTGGGTGCTCCATTACTGTATAAACAGCAACTCCTGGGCTAATTAGAATCATTTTTCCAACCAATCAACACACTGTAATATAAATTATTGTGTTTGTTTGCAATGTGGCCTTCTTGCACTTGTTCTGATTAGTATAAGAATAAACATTTCAGCAACATCTATCTCCCTCTCTCTTTCATGGCTATTTGTGAATCTTGCTGTTAGCAATTAGTTGCCATTTCTTTTACGTTAATAAGAGAATGACTACACTCAAAAACTGTAGTGTTTTGGAATATCCTTTGCACTGTGGGATGTAAGGAAGCAATTGATGCCCAAACCGGCTCTGTTGCTGTAAAAACGTCTTTTGAAAACCAAACAAAACCAGGATCTAAATCTGGATGAACGCAGCAGGCCAAGCAGCATCAGAGGAGCAGGAAATCTGACATTTCGGGTCTAGACGCTGCTATGTTCATCCAGCTCTACACCATGTTATCTCAGACTCTCCAGCATTGGCAGTTCCTACTGTCTCAGGATCTAAATCTCCTTGGTGATTCTCATGTATGGTCACAACATATGTTCTAGACACAGCAATGTCCCTGCTACTGCTGGACTACCCATTCCTACCAGGTAGACTGCTTGTGATTTCTGTACAGACTGGCTGTAGCTGCATTTGAATGTCAATGTCGGAATGCATGGGTGACACCATATGCAGTTAATTTGTCTGTTGTAGCTTGTATCATTGACTTCCAACAATCTAACAATCAGATATTGACTGGTAGATTGTTTGCATTTTCTCCTGCATTGACTATGAGTGTATGTCAGACATTTTTCTTTGGGCATATGACATTGATATCAGTAAGAGCTTCCAATGTTTGACATCATCGACATATTTAGTCAAGTACACAATGTGAAAATCCTGTTCACTTTTCAAGTGAAGATATTTTCACACTGAGTCTTCACCCTGGTCACCTCATGTACGGGCTTGCACTTATGTGGATCCCTGGCTACTCTGTTATTGCAAACATGATTTTTGTTTGGTTACATCTTGCTGTAGCCTTGATTAACATTGCTGGAACCAGAATTCCTATGTTGTTGAGCTCAATATTCATTTACACCACATGATTTGCAAAGATCTTGGAACACTCAAACATATGAATTAGGAGCAGAAGTAATCCATTTTTCCCTTTGAGCCTGCTCCACCGTTCAACAAGATCATGGTTGATCTGTTTGTATTTCAGATTGCACATTTTCATCTATCGCCTAAAAGCTTTGATTACCCTGCCTAAAAGGAATCTATCTGTCTCTGTCTTTAAAATATTCAATGACCTCTCCTCCATTATGTTCTGAGGCAGAGAACTCAAAGTCATAACTCTCTGACAAATTTCTGCTCAGCTCTGTCCTAAAACTGCAACTTATAAGTGTTAAACTGTGTCCCCTAGATCTAGACTCACCCACAAGCAGAAACACCCTTTCGATGTCCACCTTGTCAAGACCATCTTACATACTTCAATCTAGTCACCCTTCACTACTCTAAATTCCAGTAGACACAAGCCCAATCTGCACAATCTATCCTCTTAAAACAACCTACTTATTCCTAGTATCAATCGAGCAAACCTCCTCTGAACCACCTCAAATAAACATACACTCTTCCTTAAATAAGGGTATCAAAACTGCAGTATTTGAGATGTGATATCACAGTTTCCCTATTTAACTGAAACAAAACATCCTTACTTTTCATTTCAATTCCTCACATAATAAAAGAGGCAGCCTTCCATTAGTTGCTATAATTACTTACTCAATCTGTACATTAACTTTTTGAGACTTTTGCACTTGGACGCCTAGATCTGTCTAGATGAATTCTGCAGTTATTCTCTATTTCAGAAATACTTTGTTTTTCTATACATAGAAGTGAACAGCTTTACATTTTCCTACATTATCCTTTATCTGCCAGATTTTTGTCCACTCACTTCATCTAACTCTGTGTTTACACCCTCCTTCTATCCACTTCACAGAACATTGACATTTTTGTGACATCTGCACATTCACCGACTATGCGTTTACTCTCCTCATATAGGCCATTAGTATAAAATGTAAAAAATAGAAGCCTCATCCTGATCCATGTGTGACTCCACTCATCATATTCTGCCCATCTGAAGAAAAAGCTTATGTATGTGTACTCTACGTTTATTGCCAGTCAGCCACTCTTCTGTCCAGGCCAATGCATTACCGCTGGCACCTATGATCTCCTGCATTACACAATAACCTTTTATGTGGCACTTTGCCAAAGCCTCCTGTAAATCTGAATCTTTCTAAAAATCGTGTGTTACTCTGTCAAAATAGTCCATACATCGGTTAAACATGATTTTCCTTTGAAAAACCATGCTAGTTCTTCCCAATTACCTTGAAATTTTCCAAATGCCCAGCTATCTCATTAACAATTGGTTCCCACATCTCCCTCACTCTGGACATCCAACTAACTGGTCTATACTTTCAATTTTCTGCTGCCTGCCTTACTTGGAATAAAGAAATTATGTTTGCTGCTTTCCAGTCTGATAAAGTCTTTGCTGAATCTAGCAAACTTTACAATTAATACCGACCTATTAACTACCTCATTAGCAAACATTTTCAGAAACTAGAATCTTGATCAAGACCCAATAACTTGCCAGGTCACAGCTCCATCGGTTTTCTCAGTACCGCTTCTCTGGTGATTATAATCTCACGAAGTGCAGACATCTTCAGCTGCTTCAACAATGACCTTCCCTCTATCCTAAGGTCAGAAGTGGAGACATTCACTGATAATTGAACAATGTGCAACACCATTCGTGACATCTCAGATACTGAAGCAGACCATGTCCACATGCAGCAGAACCTGGACAGGGTTCAGGGTTATCTGGGTTGATAAGTGGCAAATATAAGTGCCAGGCAATGGCCATCTCTAACTAGAGAAAATCTATCCATCATCCCTCGACATTCAATAGCATTACCATCACTGAATCTCCTACTATCAACATCCTGAAGATTACCATTGATCAGAAACTGAATGGCCGAACCATATAAAAACTGTGACGACAAGAGCAGGTTAGAGGCTAGGAATCCTACAGCGAGTATCTCAGATCCTGACTCCCCAGAGCCTGTCCATGAAAATGTGCAATCTGAAATATCTGCAAGGCACAAGTCAGGAGTC